CACAGTGCCCCCTAAAGTTTAATTTATCATCGTAGTGTAGACCCAGAAACCTAACGCTTTTCTTGTAATTCAAAGAAACCACATTATGGACCATTTCCGCCATTACTCCATTCCGTTGAGGCTTGTGAAACTTTACCAGATGTGTTTTCTGTATATTCGGGTATAACTGATTGTCGCGAAACCTCAGAAATTTCTCCGCTGCACTTTCCTTCCAGGATGCGGTCTGAGTGACTCGTTACTAGTATTGTTGCATCGTCAGCATACAATGTGAACGACACACCATCATAATATGTAACTAGTACTCAAGAGAGAGTGAAAAATAAATAATGTAGGTTCTTGATGTACTCCAGCTTCCACATTTATTTTACTTTATTGCACTCAGGAGTAGATGGTCATCTTTTTGATGAACTAGTACATAATGCTAGAATGCTACATACTCATAGTCTTTAGAAACATGCTGGAGAGCATAACTGCAGCCCCAGCTACAATTTTCGTGTTTTCTCTAGTTGGTCTGAATATGTCACTTGAAATGCAGAATTTGTTGTTAATTCGTTTAGACTAAGCTCCATATTTATTATTCTTTTATGGTATTCATTGTTAATATTTTAAACCTATAACACCCTGCTACATTTTTATTATTTGTGTTTGATAAGAAAACAAACTAAGATTTCAGTAGTTGGGCCAATAGATGCTTTTATACTATACAAATTGTTTGCACTTTTGGTCCGATTTTTGGTTCCTGAACCACGTCTTTGCATCTCTACGTCAACCCAGACAAGGTTTAAGGAGTGTTCTCCCTCCAGCCACAACATGATCACTAAATCAGTATTCGCATTATCTCGAAAAAAAGGCAACAATCAAATCTATCCCCGTTCTCGTTTACTGGAATGAGGTTATTTATAATAGTAATATTTATTTGTCTCCAAAATACACAACCATTACACATAGAATTTTATAGAGGATAAATAAATGAACCATCGTAATATGCACATATAATTATGTTTACTTTGATCCTTTTCACCATATTAACTGAATACCTACTAACGTCAAAATGATATTTACAGCAGTACAATATTTCTGAAAGAGGCAATTTTATCATCACTGTCCCTGTCCAGTATCCTGTAACTCTAGCTTCTAATTCTACGTTTTGGCACAGTTAAACTTGTTCTTCTGCTGCTGATATGTCTGTATTTGTACATCTAGGTACAATAGAGAAATTGTAAGCCGATGATCTGACCCATTTTTGACCCATTCTTTTAGTAGTAGACTTCGGGAAGCAGGACTTTCTTTTCGGGCAATTGCAGTTAGAGTGCGAAGAAGTGTAGACACTGTGGTTAGGTGTTGTCAGGCATGGCTTCGAGAAGGTCGTACGCAAAGAGCAAGGGGCACTGGACGCCGCCGTAGAACAACAGACCGTGAAGATCGCCGCCTAAGATTATTGGCCTTAAGGGGCCGTTTCTCCACTACCAGGTCCATTGCAAATGAATGGTTTGCAGAACACGGAAGACCTATTGGCATGCGAAGTGTTTACCGACGAATGAGAAGTTTTGGCTTGTTTTCATACCGGCCACACTGGGTCCTCCCTTTAACTCGAGAACACCGACGTAGTCGCCTTGAGTGGTGCAGACAACGGTCACTCTGGGATCAGGAATGGAACAGTATTGTCTTTAGTGATGAGTCTCGATTTTGTTTAGGCATGCACGATGGTCGTGCCAGGGTTAGAAGGCGACATGGTGAAAGGAGGAATCCACAGATTTTTGTTGAAAGACATGTTCATCACACTGTTGGAGTTATGGTTTGGGGTGCTATAGCTTATGGTTCCAGGTCACCTTTAATCTTCATCAGAGGTAACATGAACGCGCAGCGTTATATCCACGAAGTTCTAGAACCCCATTTTTACCCTATCTTGACACCCTGGCAGATCCAACTTTCCAACAAGATAATGCCCGACCACATGTTGCAAGAGTCACAATAGACTTCTTTCAACATAATGATGTCACATTGTTACCATGGCCACCAAGATCGCCCGACTTATCCCCAATTGAGCACGTGTGGGATATGATGGGTAGGAGATTGCTTAATTTGCAACGTCCTCCTCAGACTCTAGTAGCACTTCGAGAGGAGTTGGTGGTTGCCTGGAATGAGATACCACAGGAGGACATTGACCACCTGATCAGAAGCATGCCTAGGCGCGTTGGAGAGTGCGTAGCACATCAGGGTGCATCCACACATTATTAAAGGTCAAAGGGCTTTAAAGCAGTGCAATCATTTTGAAATTTTTATCATTTACTTATTATGCTCCATTAAGTACTTATACAAAATTTTATTAAAATAAAACCATTTAAACTGGGTGTTCGGATTTATATGTCACTTAGTATATTTGCTTACCAAATTATTCTAGTTGCTTAAAAAAGAAAAACCTTAACGACACTGAAACGTCTCAAACCAAAGATGATGTTTTTATATGTTCTGTCGACCTGTATTCTTAAAATACGGTCATGTTATTTTTCTTACAAAATCCGAGGTCATTTAAAATTCTGTTTTAGGTGATAGAACACTTGCAGTGCTTTAAATATATCTATGACTTATTTTATCTTCAGTTGACAGTATTGCTCATTTCATATAATTGGAAATGATGAACGAATATCTAAACGTGTAACTTTTTCTTTATGGTAACTCAAATCGTTCCCGAGATCTGACCACGGTTGCGTTATAATTATTATCTTCCAGCCGCCGATAAACTGTACTTTCCTTTTCCTTCCTTTATGCTCTAGTGCGGTAATGTAACTTTGACGTCGCCAGCTTTAAATACAGGGTGGCGCATCGAAAACGAAATAGACGCATTTACTGGCAGCCCGTTTTTTTTGTGGAAAAACGCTCAGACCCGTCGATTTTGTTTTCGAGGAGGACACAAGTTTGGAAAAAAATCACATTAGCACGTGCAGCCCTCTAAGCGGGGTGACACCACCCCCAAAATCTTAAGTGGAAAGGGGGTCGAGTGATACCTTATTTTAAAGGTCTTTCAATTTCCTTTATAATGATATAAAATTAATGTAGTTAAGTTCAGTAGTTTTGAAGATTTATTGATTTAAAGCTTAAATAAAACCAATACATCATCATTAGTGGACATCAATACATTTGGCAGCAAAGTAATTTAAAAGTGAAGAATGAACTGACCCGTTAGGCAAGTAAATGTTGAAAATGGCCACCATGACTCTCCATGCAATAATAAAGATTTTGCTCAAAAACTTGCCGCACATTTTGCAATATTTGAGGAGTAATTTGAAGGCACTCATTCACAATTCTTTGTCGCAGGTCTTCTAATGATGTTGGCTGAGTAGCTTTTTAAATGACCCCACATAAAGAAATCCAAAGGTGATAAATCTGGCGATCTTGGGGGCCATTCAATGGCACCTCTTCTACCAGTCCATCGATCTGGAAACGTCTGATCTAAATATTGTCGAACACGTAATGCGTAATGTGGTGAGGCACCATCCTGTTGGAACATCAACCTATTCGCAACGTACCGCCGATCATTCTGATTTTCAATTATGGCTGTTAATGCAAGATCTATGGCATCTTCCAGTAATTCCAAATACATTCGTCGGAAAGCAAGTGTTGAATAGGAAATGTTCATCGTTTATAATTCGTTCACTCATATCTTCACAAAATGGTAATCGCCGATGAAAATCGTCTTCATTAATTTCTTGTACCAGGTGAATTTTATACGGATGAAAACAATGGGCCTTTAGAATCCGTTGGACAGTACGTCGACTAACACCACACACAATCTCCAATTTGCGGGTACTTAACGTAGGATCTACATAAACTTTTCCTAAAACCCCCATTTCTATTGCTTCGTTCCTTATGGGATTTTCAATGTTGCGTTTTCTATTGGCGACTGACCCAGTTTCCCGAAATTTGGCTACAAGTTCTAGAACATATTTTCGATGCACGTTACTGTTCTCATGTCGCTCATTAAATATTTCTGCTGTTCTATTAGCGCACTGATTATTTCCGAAAAATATTTCGATAATTTCAACTGTTTCTGCTGTGGAATATACCATGGTTAATTTATGTAATAAAGCGTTACAAGTTATTTTAGCAACAAAGTTTGGTCAAATCAATCGCAAACTATGTACTAAATTCCTATTTAAAATAAGTACGAGATATTTCCTTATCTTTCTTCAAGAAATAACTTTTTTGCCACAAAAAAACGCTCCAATATCTATTTTCAACAACAAAATGATAAACAAACCATGGCGTAGTGAAGAAAAGCATTTACTTATTAAGTAAATTCTTTTAGTCAAATTTCTTCTGAGAGTAGTACAAACTAATCTGATGTACCTATTAAAGTCTACTTTAAGCTTTAAGTCAATAAATCTTCAAAACTACTGAACTGAAGCTCATGTATTTTACATCATTATAAAGTGAATTGAAAGACCTTTAAAAAAAGGTATCACCCGACCCCCCTTTCCGTTTAAGATTTTAGGGTTGGTGTCACCCCCGCCCAGGGGGCTGCATGTGTTAACGTGAATTTTTGCCAAACTTGTGTCCCCCTCGAAAACAAAATCGACGGGTCTGAGCGTTTTTCCAAAAAAAAAACTGAGCTGCCAGTAAATGCGTCTGTTTCGTTTCCGATGCGCCACCCTGTATGTTGAGCATAATATGAAGACCACGGTAAGTATCATTATTTATTGGTTGCTAGGATACGGCACAAACATTGGTGATACAACAGCGCGGCCAATTTATTTAATTTGGATTCAACCTAAAAGTGATTTTAAATTTTTTTAGCTGAACATAGATAACACTTGCATGTATCTCCAACGTAATGAGTGTTCATGGACCTTGGCGTATAAGGGCCCGCGGTGCTTCGTACCTGGGCTCTAATTTCATGAGGAAAATTAAAACCGCTCTCTTTACGTACACCTATTAGATACATAAGCAATCATTTGTTTCTGATTGAAATGCCCAAAATGAGTTTAAAATATCTTTCTTACCTTAATAGAATATACAAAGGACTTGTTGTATTTTGGGACGGGGAAGGGACTTCTAAGCGTGTCAACTACCGGAAGTACGACGATTCAGGATCTATTCACATTGTCCCACCTTTGGGTGGAAGGGACCTTGTTGAAAGGACTGACGTTCGGCGGCTGATGAAGTAACAACGATGACCAAGGGGCACTACTGAGCTTCAAGGGGACCAACTCTGCACTTAACATAGCTCGAAAGGGTGTTCGGGTACAGCAGAGGTAGTGGCGCTGGATGCTCCTATTGCGACGAATGGTTGACGGTTCCAAGTGGCGTTCTGAAATAAAAATATGCAAAATTAGTCTAACAAAAAGATTTGCGAATTACGAAACGTTAAAAATATTAAGATGTCTGCCCTAGCCGATGTCGGAAAGAAATATTTGTGCTTGGCACGTGTAACTTCATCGGCCAAGGTTTTGAATAATCTTCTTTGTGACGCTTGAACTCTAATCTTGTTCACAATTTTTACTACCAATTTCATAACGTTGCCCCGTTTTAGAAAATGTCCATATAATGCTTTGCTGATGGTTAATGCAGTGGTAACAGAGAAATTGCGGAAAACTTTCATCCTTACGACATAACCCCACGAGACCCTGATCACTACCCACCATAGCTGGAGCGCCATCGGTTGTCAAGCTTACCATTTTCGATATTGGAATTTCCTCAGAAGAAATAATATTTTTAAAAGAAGAAAACACTTTTAGTGGAATAAACTTAAAAAGATCTTCTTTAATCGAAAAATTACTAAAAACCATCTTGACGAACATGGCCATCTGAGAGGTGCTGCAGTGAAAAATGAGCACTGTTATCGAAGTCATTTCTTAATTGTAAAACTATATCATTACTCATTACTTCGTCTCGTCTCATCACTGTAGTAGCAGAAAGATGCATAGATTTTATAGCACGACACAATCTCGTCTTTATTTCTAAAGTTGACAAATAATGAATCTGCAGCTACTAAAACACCTGTTTTATCATTTCCCCGTCTTCATAAGGTTTCTTCTTTTGTGAAATTATCTGGGACACCAGGTATGATGCTTCAGTTGCAGCCTTACTTTTGTCGATTGTTCTTAAATACATTATATGTTGTCCAATTAATTAATTTTTTAATTGTTTCAGTTTTTTCGTTCTAGTTGCAGAATATAACGGGGATGATTTTAAAAAATTCGAATGTGCTGTTTTATCAATTTTTTAGCAACGGAAACAGATGTATTACATACATTTTTACATTTAGCTTCTGTAAAGAAATATTGTTCTTCCCATTTCGAATGGAAATGGTATGTCTTCATCTTCTTACTACTGCTCATAATGATTTTAATTGCAGGCCAACTCTAACCAAACCGGTGGACTTTGTGCCGTTAAGTTTTAAACTGAGCGCATTGTCGCCGCGCCTTGCGTATTTATTCCGTTCAAAGAAATCGAGATCGATCTCGAACAGATCGCTCATCGCATTGTTGCTGCTGCTTGTGTTTATTATGAGAATTTACAAAGTTTACGTAAGCTTCTATGATTTTTACACCTTTTTAAATTATATTGTGAGCCACCAGAATTGCCTTTGCAAAATACCGGTAGCTCGTGATCGACAGGTTGGCGACCACTGATCTAGATATTTAGCTTCTTTTCATTCATACATTAGTGATAAACATTTATGTGTGGATTTACATGGTTATAAGTTTGGTGCGGTTTTGGATACAACAGTGGTCAGTGATCAGTCCGGCACGGCTATTATGTCGAAAACCTAAAAAATCGTCAAAAAAACCGACGATATGTCATCTTGCAGACTAAGTGGTTTTTAGTGTGCAAATAGTTCATTCCATGTTTGATTGTTATGATCGCTGTTCGCTAACGTTTAAGCAGCACGAGTTCACAAGTATCTTATAGAAAAACCTACGAAATGCAAAAAAAATGTACGAAGTGTCAAAAAAAACCGACGATTTCACTTTTCAGGATACCGTGCAGGTCATTGAGGATATGATTTGGTACGAACACATTTAGTCAATCGCATCTGCCGGGAACATTTTCTGTTATTCGTTTAGAACTGAGAAGTATTTTCGCTGCATATAATAATAATTAATAATTAACGTCTTTTATTTGTAATATTCTTACAGGAGGCGAGATTTAGATAATATATATTTATATACATCTAACCCCCTTAACAATACAAGATGTAAAAAAAAACAGAATTTGTTGAAAATGAATACCTGTATACAATAACGACAGAATAAAGTATAATCTAAGTAAAGGCATAAGGAAAATATGACGCCATTTATGGGTTACAACAGATTTCGCAGCTGATCACGTAGAACTTCTTTCACTTTTTTCTTGAATTTGGGTAATGGATTGGTTTCTTTTAAACTGCGGTCTAAAGAATTATATGATTTGATCGCATTGCAAATATATGAATTCTGAAATAGAGATGTGCTGTGGCGTGGAATTGAAAAAGTCTCTCTATATCTAATATTAATGCCATGCATATTCCCTATACATATGAACTTGTTTACTAAATATGACGGTGTTTTTGAATAAAGAACCTTATGAGTCAGATTTAGGAGCTACATTTGATCTACTTTCATCCATTTGAGTTCACTAATGGCATTCGATATATGATTATACTTTCTGAGACTATTTACAAGTCTGCAACATATATTCATAATACTTTGAATACGATTTCTTGTTATAATATCCAAATAGGGACAGTAAACCACTAAGCAATACGATATCTTTCAAAACAAGAAAGATTCACACAATTGCTTTCTCGCCGATTTATGTAATATAACTTTATTTGCAAATAAAACTCTGAGAATAGCGTAGCATTGAGAAATTAGATAGTTTACGTGTACAACAAATTTTAAGTCATCCTCCACTATAACACCTAGGTTCTTCGAATGATCCACAGGAACTAATTTATTACATTTAAATGTATATCTATGTCCTTTTTTAAAGTATTCTTTTCTTTCTATTTGCGTATACCAACATATTTGTGTTCAAAGGGTTCAAACGAAGATTAAGACTACTACTGAACTTTTCAATTTTTGCAAGATCTTGATTAATTTTATTATTTGCTGTTTCCAAGTCATTACTCCTAAATGAATAGAAAATTTGAGTATCGTCTGCAAAAAACTGTATGCTGCATGATTTTACCTCTGTTTCTAAATCTGAGATATATAATGAAAATAATAGTGGATGTAAGACTGATCCCTGTGGTACACCAGAACAAATTTTTTGTGCAGTAGGGTACTGTCGATTCAGACGAACTTTTTGATACCGATTTTCAAGGTAGGTTTGAATAAACGAAACAGGTTTTTCAGAAAATTCATAATAACTGCATTTAGACACAAGAAGTGAGTGATTAATGGTGTCAAATGCGGTCAAGAAGTATGAGAGCTATTGCGTTTTGGTTATCAAGTGCCATTGTTATATTGTCTGTTAAATCACAGAGTGCCGAAGCTGTATTATGACCTTGTCGAAATCCAGATTGTTTAGATGGAATAATTTTGTTAGAATATAAGTAGGCGCAGAACTGTTCGTAAGCAACGCGTTCCAATACTTTAGACAAAAATTGGCAGTAGACTGATCGGTCTCAGTTGACCATAACTAGGAGGATCAGAACACTTAGGTAGTGAAACAACTATAGCGCATTACCACGCATTGAACCTCCCCTTTTGACCGGCCAGGCTTCTGCCTCCCATCGAACTTCGCACATCCAAACTGGCCGGAAAGACCGCTCCTTTGTCCCTACCGTGTCAAGATTAAGAAACAATCTGCATGCTGACGCTTTTTCCAGTTCCACAAACCTTCAGCTCAAAAATTGTGTTTTTATAGCAGTTGTAGAATTTAGGTCTCTGCCTATGCATCCGTATCAGTATAGAAAAAATACAAAGGTAAGGACGAGCAGAAGCAACCAGCTTTTGAAAGAAAAAGTTTTTTACTGATTTTTTCTATCTATAGAAGATAACAATCATGACTATCTAGAGAAATGTTTTGGCATTAATGTCAACAGTCACACAGGGTCCGTCAGAAAGAACGCATATTTTTTAAATGAGTAGTACAGTCAAAATAAATATGGGAAAAAAATTATAACAAAATACTCAGAAATACATGCCATTTTCTTGAGTAAAATAAAATTTGACGTTCTAAAAGCTATGTCGGCCATATAGCGCCCTTAGCCGAAAATGCAAGGAATCAAACCTTCTCCGGCGATATTCCATTATCATTATCATTTTACTCGATTATTTCTGAGTATTCTGATATAATAAAATATTTTTCCCATACTTATTTAGACCTGGTAACTAACTCATGAAAAACAGCCTCTTTCTGACGGACCCTGTATTAAGCATACAAATGCAAACGCCTGCGCTTCCTTCGCGTTCGCTTTCTATGGAGTGGTAAGTAAATGAGCGTAGCATATCCGATATAGTGCAAAAAACGAAAAATGGGCGAGGTTAGCCCAGTTGTGTACCCGGCTTCAAAACGTCACCTTTACTATGATTCTAGTAACATACAGTATAGTAGATATAAGCCTTTAAAGTAGATTCTCTCAAAATAGCTATTGTTTTATTATTTTTTCTTGAATGCCTGCTGAATCGTAAGAAATCTGACATCGAACCTCATAAAGTTTCCTGGATGAATAAAGATTCATAAAATATATAGCTCAATTTCTTATACTTTTATAGCAGTTGTTTAAGAACCTCAGCCCTATAAAATGAACGTGTTTATATGAACTATTACGCTTATTTCTGTGAGTTTCAACGTTTGCCGCGTCACCAGATTACAGTACGTTTTATTTGTCTCGGAAAGTAAAACAGACATTCGAGCATTTTGGGCGCAAAAGTAGTAGATTCTGTTTTAGAAGCAGCTCGAACAGTACATGAGAATTTTCCCGTAAACATACCCTCAAGACCGTCCGGTGCCAAATTTCATACAAAATTGAGGATAGTGTCAGTCAGCATTTAGTACATAGTTTTGTATGAACAAATTTAGTGCTAAGTTTTGTAGAATTGGTCTAAATAATATCATACTAAAAGTGCGCAGATGACTACCGCGCATTAGAAGCAGGACAATGGCTGATGTAACCTCAAACCTTTCATTAGTTGAAGAATAAGGTGCGTTGGATGAAATCAGAATGACTTAAGAACCAATTAGGCTTATAAGTGGAACCTGCACTAGAAGTTCTTCATTCAGCATATGGAGAACATAATATGTACATGCTCTGGTCCCTCTTCCTGATCTATTTTCGGCACCAAACTATTTTACGGTTTCGTTTACTTTACGGGATCGCTCCATTTTCTACAATTTTCAATTCATTTAAAAA